AAATACTGGTCTTCCAGCATATTTCTCTTTTATAAATATGTAAGGAATCTAAAACAGAATCTAAAAGGTTATAAATATAAATTTTTTACTTCTAATAATAAAAATATATATGCTTTTATGTCTTTATTTAAATAATCCCAACTGCAAGAATTTTTCAAGTAAATATTTTTATGTGTGGTTTGAAGGATACTTTATGTCACGAAAGTTTAAAACTAACAATCTTTTTTCCACATTCATCAGAGTTCACATTCATGGTCATTTAACGATTTATACATCCCAGGGGAAGACCTTCGCTAAAGAAATGTGGTACATTCCCCAAAATGTTTGATACAGAGTTTACTATTTAGAAAACTATTATAGAATCCACAAATACTTTAGCAGCAACTACTTAGAATCAGTATATTGGAGTAATCACAATTCACCCTGAGAAGCTCTAGTTAGGACTTTGCCACTTCTGTTTTAATTTCTGTATTTTAAAAATAATAATATTTACCTCTTTTTAAAAACCATTCAAACTTTCCTCTGAACTGCTTTCTGTTCCATTTAAACAATTAGAAGTGTATAATTTCATAAACTCCTACAGTACAAGTTAATAAGCTAAATTTATTTCTGTAGAAGAACCAAATAGGAAAAATACTTAAAATAAAAATTAAGTAGTATAGATATTTTATGTATTATATATAATGATCCAAAAATTATTCATCTTGTAACTACATATGGGAATTCAACATAAATAATTGTGGTATCTTCAATAACTGTTAGCTTTGTGTTATATATATTTATAGAAATATTTTAAATTTCTCAGCAGTTCTGCAACAGAAATGGCCATTAATAAGCACAGTCAGATTACAGGTTTTTACATGTCAATAATTTTTTTAAATTAGAGGATACTACATGCATCATTTTGAAAATATATTCTAAAATTTTCATTTTAAATTTATATTAATACTTTGTATTAATGCTACATTGCTTTTTCTTAAGTTATTATTTCAGTTAGTCATAAATCTATTTTGAGACAAAGTCTTGAACTCACTATGTGGCCTACACTGGCCTCAAACTCATGAGGATCTTCCTGCCTCAGGCTCCCAAGAGCTGGGATTATAAGCATGTGCCACTGCACCTGGCAGAACATGAATTACTCCTTAAAAATATACAGGATACTCTAATTTTGGCTATTTTAATAAGTAACCACATATTTTGTAAGCTTTTAAAACTAGCTTTGAAATGGAAAGATGTATTTTTAAATTTTAATATCTGTACGTAAAGTATATGAATTTTGTATATAATTATTTCTGAATATATATGCAAGTAGTTATTTTCATATTTACTTAGATATTAACCCCTCTCTAAAAGTAATTGCTCTTTTGCCCTTCAGAAGAAGCAGAATTTCTCATTTATAATCCTAGTGTTCAGTGAGTATGTATCAATAATACTGTACACTGCCCTTTATCTCACATAACTGAATTTGGGGATTGTAAACATTTAAAATATTTCCCCATATTTCCTCTCATTCTGTTAAAAAGAGAGTTAAGTTGGTCTTTCCTGATTATTTAACACCCACTGGCCTCAGATATTTATTGGCAATTCATAGCACCCCAGAACTTTTTAGTGTCAAGTTTATATTGTTTGCAATTATTTGTAAGCAATGAATTTTTATTATGATTAATATTTAGGCAGTGCAGTTTTATATATCTATTATAAGCACATATGTGTTGCCTACTATCTGTGAGACATGAAAAGACCAGGTTGTCCGCACGAGTGATCACGAGCCAATCCCAGGTCACTCTCCAAGACGTGCTTTCTCTGATACCCAGCTGTGGGATGCTTAAATGCCAAGAACGGGGTGCAAAATAAAATGTAACTCTGCACTCATTAAAGAAGTAAGCCCTCTGCCTGATGATTGTTTTGTCATTGGAAACTGTCCTAATGCGTATAGAGATGTGCCAGTGTAGACCAATAGTGAAGGAGTATTACTTAAAATTTGGATTTTCAAATTAAACTAATTGAAGACCTTGATCCTAAAGTTAGCCATAAGTCATCTTTTATTTTATTTACCTGACTTCCGAAATTAAAAGTTTTGAAAAGTGGCTTGAATATTTTATGGGACGAAGAAAAAATGAGTTGCCTGATTGTCACTTTCGATTTCAGTTTTTAAAAGAGGATAATTAGTGTACTATTGATATTATACACATTTATAATTTACTCTCCTTTATAATATTTAATGGTTATTTGAACTTTAATATGTACATATATTCTCTTTTCAAAGTGAAAAAAACCATGATTTTAAGTTTGTTTTTGAATGGCATGATTACTGTAAAATATTGATCTATTTTTTCATTTTCATGGACTTGTTTTTAAAATTTTAGTAATCCTGCAGCACTGTCAATTAACGTCTTCTTCTTTCAGTTGCACCGCTTTGTTTTCTGTACCATGAACCTTATAAACTGTATCAGACATTCCGTGAGATGTATGTGCGTTTTTTCTTCAGACTCCATTCCATCTCTTCTCACCCTTCTGTAAGTCCATAAAAACTGGATCAAATCAGACTGTAATCTGTTCTTTGCTGTAAGAAGAAGTCTCCTATGCCATTTAATTATAAAGCAACATTTTAATTTATAATGTCAACATATTTCTGTAGGATAAATGAAAGCAGAAGAAAAGGATTTTTAATTTTTTTATAACAAAGGAAAAAGTTTCTTACTGATTACACTTAAATTAGCCTTTTATATATTTAAAAAAACATGGAAAGTCTGTATTTTTTTATCCTTTGCAAGATGCTTACCTTCTTTGCTGATTTCCTCATTTATTAAATGAGGTTAGTAATGGAATGTTTGTCAGGGTTACTAAATTTCTTCAAAGAGTAGACTATGTGACTACTTCTCAATTAAATAACTCTATTTTATCTTCTTAGTTTAACTCTAGCCATTCCTCTCTTAGTTTCCTTGTATCCAAGCTCTTTGGCATGGCTGACTGGTGCACGGTGACCAATGACAGAATTCTAGGGTGTCACAGATAAACAGATGAAGCAGCACCAGTTATTTTGGGCTTGTCACTAGAGAATGTGATTTAGTTGTTATGTTAGTATGCAATCTAGAATAATCAGAAATATTAATAGTAATTAATATTAATACTTCTCTTTTCTAATATCTTAGTAGCATCAGGTTTTACTGTCATATTCTATATGGTTTTATGCTTCAGAGGTTAAAAACCTGGCTGCACAAAACACCCGCGAGGTGCTGTGTCTGCACAGGGCACTGAAGCCCCACATTGCGCTGCTCTGTACATTCTGCTGCCCTTAGGCTGCCCTGACTGTGTCGGCCCTGCCCCTACCTTTCTCCACTCAGCGAATAATACAGGCAGTCATCTCCTCTTCTGGCTCGCAGCCAAGCTGAACAGTTTGGAACTATGACAGCCTTGTTTCTTCAGAAACTCAAAAAGAGGATTAAAACTTCCTTCCTAAGATCAGCCCAGAGGAATGCTGAGCTGAAAGACTTTATTCAGAGCAGTCAAATAACAAACAACCTTGAAAACCATCAGCTTAGTTAATTCTTACAAATAATGCCCTTTGGAAAAACATGGAGATTTTAGTAAAAACAAATACTGTACACTAAGCAAATATTCTTGTTTGAAAACTTCCTGATAGGAGTTTCAAGCAATCAGCATCAGTCTTTTCAGAGGTTAATTTCGGAGACAGGGTGGGAGAAGGAGGGAATATTTTCCCGGGAGAGTGAGGCAGGTGGGGAAGGGACACATGGAGAGATAGCGTGAGGGGTATGCGCTCTGCACCGGGGAGGTAAACACCTGAAAATTGTAATGTGTCATAAAAAACAAAAAACTGATTTTCCTGGGCCTATGTATGTGGCTAGCAAAGTATCAAGTTTTCTGTAAAGTGATGTGTGTCTTGACTCACCAGGTATTAATAGGGGTTGCTGGGAACCTACTGTGCTTAAAAGGAGACTCGCTTTATGTTTTGTTTTTGAAATAGGGTCTCACTGTGTAGTTGTGTCATGGCAGTTGGCCCTGCCTCAGCCTCCTGAGCACTGGGATCATGGGCATGTGCCGCCAAGGCCAGCAAAAGGACACTCTTTAGTATGTCCCTAAGTGTAAATACACAGACAAAAGATAAAACCTTAAATAAAACGTTAGAGATCTGTTAGTACCTCCCCTATTTTTGACTCTGAAACAATATAAACAATATTTATGTTCATAGTCATTTTATTTTGTTGGGATAATTTATTAGCACAATTAATTTTTAAATACTAAACAATCTATTTCTCCTGTGGTTCATTGTTATATCCAGGGTATTGTGTCACTCTGTTTGCTGTTTGAGACCCTTCTTCAAACCTATCTCCCACAACTCTTTTATCATCTACGAGAAATTGGGGCTCAACCGTGAGTATTTTTCCTGTCCTAATTGAATAATTTCACTTCAGAAAACTATTTTTTCACCATCATAAAGCACTTGTGAAGGATGCAGTAATTCTTCAAAGAAATTAAGCTAACAATTTCCCCAATAAAACAATAATTTTCAGGTAGTAAATTATAACTACCTTGTATAAAAAATTCTTGGGAGAATTACCAAAAATCCTAATAAAGTCTTACTCACTAGGATATTTGTGTCTAGTGCAAGAATCACCAATATGAACTAATTTCTCTTCATAATAGAAAGCATTAGCCCAAAACTGGTGTGAACATTTGGGGCAGCAAATACACCCTGAGAAATGTGATAATGCTAAAATTAGTCAGTGTGGACTAAATTTATCAGTAACTCACATATGAAAGTTACATAGGTTAAAATTTGCTATCTTTTGTGAAAGGAAACCAAATCAGTAACCTGCCAGTGACTGTACTGTGATTTCTCCTTCCAATAGAGGATTTTATTTGCTGATTGAGGCCTCAAAGGGAGTTAATGGGAAAAAGAATAGTTTAGTATCTGCTTTCTCCACACTTGAATAAATAGCAGATAGATGGGAGTGTGTGTAAATTTAACCCAACTTCAAATTTCATCTTCATTAAATGATGCAGTCTCAGTAAAGTTATTTAATTTATGTAAGCTGCAATTTCCTTATCTTAAAATCAGGAGAATTCCTACCTTATGGAGTTATTTCAAAATCAAATGATTATTGACAAAAATCTGTGTAGAAGTGTGTATATGATACCTTCTTTTGAGGAAGCACCACTGAGTTCAGAAAAATTAGAAATGCTAACTATAAAACAACATTTCATGTTACCCACTGATGACTTTGAATTGATATTCTTTCCTTTGTAGCTATTAAAAATAGGATTCTGTTCTTGATTAAGATTATAAAACAAGAATGTAGCAATTGAGCACATCTTTTTTTTTTTTATTAAACCTGTAGTAAGTTGAGTGCTTTTTTTACTATTATGAAATGAACATTGTAATATAATTAGGCATTTTTAAAAAACCAGGTTCAGGACACTTAGTTAGTTTATTGCTAGAAACTAAAATTCTGATATTTTTTCTAATTATTTACACACTTTAATTATTAAGAACAAACTTATTTCAGTGACTTATGATACACATTAAAATTCTTATGTAAGATAAAGCATAAAAATTCTAATTAGAGGGTAGAAATTAATTTTTAAAAGTCTTTCATGAATATTCACCCTGTTAGAAAATGTTTAGTTTTGAATTTAATAGCTATAGGACTACACAAATTATCCATTTCTGCTTGAATGAGTGTCACCTGATAAAATTATGCATTTTTATCAAAGTTAAATTCATAATATTCTCTAATTAGTCTGAATTACCTTTTAATGGGTACTGAATCAATGACTTCATTTCTTTCATTACATAGATTCGAATTTATATTATCTTTCTCTTTCTCTTGATTATTCTGGCTAGACATATAGTCATCTTTGAAAGGACCACCTTCTGGTTCTCTTGATTCTTCTTGTTTCTTCTGTTTCATTTATATGATTTCTGGTCTCATATTTATTCTTTTCTTCTTCCTTCTTTTTGCTTTGGGTTTTTTTGCTCTAGTCTTTCTACTTGTTTAAGGTAGAAGTTAGATCATTAATTTGGGATCTTTCCTGTTTTCTAAATAAGCATTAATTTATAAATTTCCTTCAAAATACCACTTTACCACCATCCAGTAAATTCTGATTTTTTGAAAATTTTCATTTCATTCAAAATGTTTTTTTAAAATTCTCTTCTGCTTTGACTACAGGTTATATAGAAGGAGGATATTGCTTAATTTCCAAATACTTGAAATAATATATTTTTCTGCTATTGATTTCTATTTTAATTCTGTTGTGGCTAGACAATATGCTTCATATTGTTTCAATTCTTTTAAAGTTGTTGAGATTTGCTTTTTGACCCAGAATGTAATCCATCTTAATAAATGTTCTGTGTGTTTCACGTGCAGTTAAAATGAATTTGTCTTCCACAAGTCTTGGGCTTCGTGTCCTGTAAGCAGTGATAAAGTCAAGTTTGTTAATAATGGTCAAGCCTTCTCTATACTTTTCCATACTTCCTTATAATTTTTTGTCTACTGTTTTTATTGATTATTGAGAGAGTAATATTAGAGTCTCTATAATTATAGATTTTGCCTTCTTCATAGTTACATATGTTTTACTTCATGTATTTTGAAGGTCTGTTTTAAGGATATTGCTTCCATTATTAGATAATTGATTATTAGATAATATCCCTTTTTATTCTTGGTAATATCTCTACTATATCTGATTTTTTTTTCTTTTGCAGTACTGGGGATTAAACCCAGAACCTTGTATTTTCCAGGCAGATGAGGAGCAATATAGTCATTCCAGCTTTCTTTTTATTACAGTTTGTATGGTATATTCTTTTCTATTCTTTAACATTCAACATATCAAATATCAGTGCTTTTTTTTTCCAGTGCATTTCTTTTTATCAAAAGTGTAGTTGATTCTTCCTGTATGGTAGTCACATCTTCTAAGAAGTGTGTTTATACCATTTATACTTAATATAATTGATACCACTGGATTGAAATCATCTTGCTGGAATTTTCTATATGTTCCATATATTCTCTACTTCTTTTTTTTTTCCTCCTGCCTACTTTTGAAAATTGAGCATTTTATTTCATTTTATCTCCACTATTGGATTATTATTTGTACTTTTTAAAAGAAGTTTTTGATAGGTATCATACAATTTACAATATGCGTTATTTTTAAAATCATGTTTACCTTGAAATAAACTCCAGCCTAGATAGTTTCACTAACAGATTCTGCCAAACATTTCAAGAGGAGATAATTTTAATTCTTGTACTTCTCTGGTTGCTATCAAGGTCTTTATTTTTAGTTCTTAGCTAAAGATAAAGTTTGATTATTATGTATCTAGTCATGGATTTTTTTGAGGTTACATTGTTGGGCTTTATTGAGCTTGAATCTCTTCCAAATTTGGGGAGTTTTCAGGCATTATTCCTTCAAATATTTTTTTTCTGCACCATAGAGACTCTCCTTTTTTTCCAAGATTATACTAACACAACTGTTAAGATTTTTGAAATTGTCCTACAGATCCTTGAAGCTGTATTCATTTTTTAAAATCCTTTTTTCTGTATTTTCTGATTTCTATGATTCAGATTTATGTTTATCTATAGTCAAGTTCACTGATTATTTTCTCAGTCATTTCTCTGTCAGATCTATCTGAAAAATTGATTTTTTTTTTTAATTCTCTGTTTTCTGTATTTTTTTTCTTGGTCATTGTATGTAATTTTCATTTGGTTCTTCCTCATACAAAACTTACACAAGTGAACATTTATGAGGGTAGTTTCTACTACACATATATTTGACCTCAGTCTACCTCAGTAACTTTCTTTTTCTTTTTCTTGTACCAGGGATCAAACTCAGGACCTTATGCTTGCAAAGCCCTGAGATTCTGCACTACTGATACTTCTGTCTAAACTAAAACCAGTCTATTTCTAGTTTTTTGTTTGTCTTGTTTTTTCTTGACTCCCAAGAAAACCTGATCTCCCTTTTCCACCCTTCCCTCTTTTAGTGTAGTCCTTTTAGTCCACATGATCTCCCAGCAGAGCATAGGTGTACTGCTGTCCTACTCTGGGCTAAGCTGGCTCTTTGGTCTGTGCTTCTTCTCAACTGCTACCTAAAATCCAGACTAATATTAAGGCTGATAGTCTGCATAGCTCTTCTAGGTCTCAATGTGTACTGAAATCTTTTTTTAAATGGATGCTGTGCTGTCTATATGGGAGGAGGTACTCCTTTAATAAAACTCTATGAGAATTAAAATAAATAAAACTAGTTGAAGATAATAATTTAGACTTAGATGTCAATTTTATTGATTGATTGATTGATTGATTGATTGTAGCACTAGGCACTGAACCCAGGGCCTTTGCATCCTAGGCCCCCTTTTTGAAAATTTTGAGACAGAGTCTTGTTAAGTCACTAATTTGGTCTGGCTAGGCTTGAACATGTGATCTCCTGCCTCAGCTTCCCAAAGTACTGCGATTAACAGGGGTGCACCATCATGCCCAGCTATCAAATATATTATTTAAGTATTAAAATACCCAATTGCCAAAAAGTGGGGTGGTTTTTTTTTTTGTATCTATGAAGAGACATTCTAAAACCAACTAAAAAGCTTAATTTGTCAATACTACTATCTAAATGTACTTTGTTATACTGTCGTAGATCAGTAGTTATCCAGTACTGAGAAATTTCTGAAACCTGAAGAAGATCATTCTCATTTTTCACTCTTAAGAGAATTAATATTAGACACAAACCAAGATAATCTCTGGGTCTGTTTTTCTCTGTTAAGAGATTAGTACAAATGTTTATCAATATAATATTGGGAGTTTGACTAGTACTCTTAGGGCATTCACGTGACTTTTATATGCTCATAGATAGTAGAGAAATAGGAGGTATTGATTCTTAAGGCTGTAGAGCCAGAGTTCATTTCCTGATTTCAGAGAGAAACTGTAACATGAACTACTACTGGTAAATATGGAGATTTGTCATATATCTTAGGCAGGTTGTTTTTCTTTGTTGTTGGTGAATTTGTTTTGTTTTGGTAACAAAAATGGAATTTAATTGAATTTTCTCGTTGATCTTTCAGAGTTCTCATAATCTCACAAAAGTGAAGGATTTAAAATGAAAAATATATTTCTAAGGTCTCTTATAGCTTTAAAATTACTGGTCCTTTAAATCTCCTATTTTATTTTATCTACCCTATGTAGCCATTTAACTGAAATATAATAGGTAATTATTGCTATGCAAATACGAAACCATTGAATACTCTTTCAAGTATTTTGAATAAAAACTCAAATTATCATGGCTTGCCTGGAATTATTAAGACTTTTAGAAGATCAGTTCATTGATCAGACTCTGAAAAATATAATGTAGAATTGAGTTTATTTATGCAGGCCAAATTCAACATGAAGAAGGGCACAGCTTGCAAAATGGTTCCTCTTCATAGTTTAAAACCACTAATTTGAGGGCTGATTTCTCACCATTGCACTTTTGTAGATTTTAGGAATGGATGTGTTTTAAATATCAAGGTGATTTATAAAATTCAAAAGAGTTGCCTTAACAATAGCATTGGTGGGGCTCATGTAATATTGCCTTTCTCTAAGAAAAAAGTGCAGCGGTAAAACTAAATTTCATTTTTCCTTGCCTACAGACTTCGCATATCATTTAAGTGGATGGTTCGTGCTTTCTCTGGATACTTGGCTACAGATCAACTCTTGCTCTTGTGGGACAGGATCCTAGGATACAACTCTCTGGAAATTCTTGCTGGTAAGAGTAAGTGCTTGTTTGTCAAACACATATTTGTATAATAAGGCCCATTTCTTTAATATATTTACTGTCTGTCATTGAAGATTGAGTCTACAGTTGTCATTTCTAATGCATGAATCTTTAATAGGGTTATCGTGCTTAGGTGTTCAAGCCCTGAGGTTCTGCACTCCTGATACTTCTGTCTAAACTAAAATGAGTCTATTTCTAGTTTTTTGTTCATCTTGTTTTTTCTTGGCTCCCAAGAAACCTGATCTCCCTTTTCCACCCTCACCTCTTTTAATCCAGTCTTTTTAGTCCACATGATCTCCCAGCAGATGGGTCCATGACAGAGCGTAGGTGTACTGCTGTCCTACTCTAGGCTAAACTGGCTGTCTGGTCTGTGCTTCTTCTCAACTGTGACCTAGAATCCAAACTAAGACTAAGGCTGATAGCCTGTGTAGCTAAAATCTCAGCTCTTCTAGGTCTCAGTGTGTACTGAAATGAAAACCTTTCCCTTTTTGTTAACACTGTTTGACCTCCACTCTGGTGGCTGAATTTGCCCTTTTAGCTGTTCTCTCATGCCAAAAGAATTTATTTCTCTTTCTCAGGAAGCCAGAGACTCATATCTATTTAATAATTAAGTAGTTTGTACAACAGGTAATTGTTTAGTAAGATACTGGGCACATGTTTCTTATATTATTTTGCTTCCTTTATGTGCAATAGATTCAATTATTTTTATCATTGGGATTATCAGGAAATTCAAATAATAAGCAGAATATTATCACAACAATAGATGAAGATTAGAAAAGTTGGCAGAGTGGTTCTGCCCACCCCAAACCTTAAATTTGTAATGATTTAAAATCACCTCTCCAAGCTGCTGTGGAATAACGCGTAGTTGAAGAAAAGTATGGCACAAAAGTTCTTTAGGTATCACGTTGATATTTTCTTGAATCCAGAGAGGGCTATAGTAATTGGGTGGCATTTTGAAAAGGAAATTTAGAATAAAACAAAGTGCCATGAAATAAATATCACTGACTGATCTTTTAACAATCCTAGATTCTTCCCTCTCAACTTTTTTAAAATCCCATACAAAGAATGAGTTAGGGAAGAGTGATCTACCCCTCTTTGGCTATACATAGAATTGGATGGGCTTATATGATATTGAGAGAGAGAGAATGAACACACTAGAGAGCATCATCAGGGATAAGTTTTTCAAACATCTCTGATGAGTCTCTGCCTTCTATTTGAACTCTTCCAGGTAGGGCGATCCCTGTCTGAGCAGGGCCCACTTCACTTCTAGATAACATGGCCTGTTAAAATGTCCTTCTTGTAAACCAAGGTTATTATCATGTTTTATCCTTTCTCATCTCTCCTCACTTCTCTTCAAGGTCTATTTTCCAGGCTGAGCAGTGTTTGCTGCCTCCCTTTGTTGAGTGACAAGACTTTTGACTAATAACTGTCTTCTGGGAATGCCAGAAATTTTGAAGAAATATCATAATAGCATTTTGTGCCATTCAAAGAAACACTAGAGAATGTTATACAAAGGGGAACACTATAACACAGTACTTTCTGATAATGAGGACTTTCCAAAAGTAGAATAAGCTCTTCAGCCACTACCTGAAGAGTCAAGAAGTTTTGTGCTTTGAAAGATAGGTTGAACGCGAAAACACAGAAGGCCTCTTCTGATTTAAGTTGTCTCATCTTGTGTATCATCATCACTTAGCAAACTGAAGGAACAGATCAAAATACCAAAAGTAAATATTAAAGTTTCTCATTTTCTTTCCTCCCCCCGCCCTTCTTTGATGGTGCTGAGGATCTAACCCGGAGCTTCCCACGTGCCAGGCGAGCACTTTACCACTGAGCCAGCCCCAACCCTGACTTCCTACATCTCATATGAAGTGTGATTTCAGCTGAAAAATTTCCCGAAGTGTAGATCTTTTCTCCTTGGCAAACAAACCTGTTCTGTAGAAGGGCTGGGCAAACTAAACATGAAGCAGACAGAAAGGAACTTCTGTGATGTGACACCAAGATAAATAAGGGTTATGAGCACATAAGCATTTTGGATGCTAAGGTCAATTAGCAAACTGCTCTCCCCACCCCACCTCCGCCCTTAATCTACTTTGGAAAAACAGTTTCCCACTCCATAAGACTCTTTCCTGCTACAGCAACACAGTTCAGTCATACACAAAAAAGAAAATAGTGACCATACTCTAAGATGTCTCCACTGTCCAAAATATGATTGTACACATTAGGAAGCTGTAAAAAATTGCTGGCCTACAGAAGTGGTTTTCTTTTATATAAATATAGAGCTTTATAACTTTAAAAATACTTTTCTTCTTTTGATTAAAAAGAAAAGTCTTCACCCCAGATATCTGAATTCCTTGTTACCTAGTGAATAATCTCAGCTGATCTGAAGTTTTTTAAGTATTTTTTTTTTACTACTACTCTCTTTCTCTCTCCAAGTTTCCTGCTCTAATTGGTTCTAATGCTTTTTACCAGCCTGTCCTCAGTCTTCCATCTCCTAGAAAGGGTGCTGAGCCTCCCGTCTCTGGCTGCACTCTGCCCTGTCTGGGGAAATGGCCAGGCCTGGCGCCTGACTCCACTGTCCAGGCACCACTACTACCCATCAGACCCACCTGGCATCCTGCGTGCCATCCCTGGAAAGCCATTCAGGGGTGGCAGGGTCCTCTGTAGGAAAGCATGTGGATTTCCCTGCAGGGCTGAGCCATTACTGCTTACGGTCAGATGCACAGGCTTCAGAGCCAGGTTACGTGTCTGCTCCGCCGTTCGCTACCTGTGTGACTGAACCTGCCACCTGCTCACTGTGCTACACTTTCTACATTAGTGCAGTGGGGCCAATAACAGTACCTAACTCCCGGGCTTATGCCAGAATGAACTGCTGTTGTTATTCTCATAGTAAAAAATGTATTAAAAACACATGTTTGAATTAACTATGCAATATATCTAGAAACTAGCCTTCCAGATACTTTTAGTATTTATTACCATTACTTTCCTAAATTTCAATGATTTGATGGGCAGGGATTATACTATCACCAATGGTGATAGCAAAAAGAAGAAGTCAGGATTTGTCTCTGGCAATACTATCTCCATATCAGGGCACACTGCTTTGAACAGGGGCCTTCTGTTGTTTGTAATTTATTCTCACATGGAGTTCTATGTTAGTCTACATATTAACCAATATTGTGTGTTAACATAACTTTTTTCCTTTCCATATGTCTGCTGGAAACAATCCCATTGCTTTCTACTTAGTGTATACTATTGAACTTCAAATTCTCCTATGATTTTTTTTTTTTTCAAATTTCAACTTCTTTTTCTTGTAGCCAACATTAAAGTTCAGGGTCAGTCTCCCAGCAACCTTCTTCACACATGTATCCATTTGTGACACTAAGAAAGTCAGAACTGAGTATGTAAAAATATAAATATAATAAAATATTCTAAACCTTTTAAGAAAAGGTGTTATTACCATGTTTATATTAGCACACCTGCTTGGAACATATGGAGCACACGCTTACATACTTAAAATTTTGGTCTCCATTGCACCTTTGTCAAAGTAAACCTTAATTTATAAGACAGTTATTAGAGCTTCATGCCATTTTTAACTATTATAATTTTAGTTCTAAGTATTGAAGAAGCAATTTATTAAAGTGACTTTGTTGTTGTTGTTTTGGCAGTACTGGGGATTGAATGCAACACCTTCACACTGAGCTATAGCCTCAGCCTTTTAAAATAATGTTTTATTTTGAGATATGGTCTGGCTAAGTCACTGAATTGCCCAGGCTGGGTTTGAATTTAACAATCCTCCTCCTCAGCCTCCCAGAGTGCTGGGATTACAGGCATGCGTCACCACGCCCAGCTCTTAAATTGATTTGGTAAAACTACTGGATTTTCGTTTTGCCCACAGCAGGGGCACTGGAGCAGCGAGGCAGTCAGGGACTGTTGTGGTGCGTGGGCACTTCGCACTCGTCGCCAGTCTGCTCCTCAGAGCGCAGGGCTGCAGCTGTGTGAAGCCTGGCACCGAGCTCTCTTCGTGGCTCGTGGACGCAGCAGTAACTGTGCCCCGCTCCTGAGGCGGCCAGCAGTTGAAATAGTGTGCATTCTTTTCCAGTCCTGGCAGCTGCCGTGTTTGCTTTCCGAGCAGTGAACCTGATGGAGGTGACATCACTGGCTGCAGCTGAAGTAAGGATAAATTTCACTCGGATGGGATGGAAATAGTTCCTGAGAGCCTGCCAGGCTCACTCACTTGAGGGTCTGATCTACAGGGCACACACTGCTGGTAGCCGAATACTTCAAGCCTGGGAAAACCCATGAGTTCTGAGCTAAGTTATATTAAGTACTCAGATTCCTTAATCACTTGAAAACAACTTACCAGGGAAGGAGTCTTACACACTATATAGGAAACTACTTCGACAGTTATGTGAAAGCAGATACCTAGGAATTTGAATAGAAACTATTTCGGCTTAAATTACATTTTCTAATCGTTCACGCCCACGCATTATACTGTAAGAACAAAGAGAAACAAGTTAAGAAAGTTAAAGAGTGCATGTGTGGATGGTATAGTAAAGACACATAGGCTTGGGTCATTTTTAATTGTGAGTTAATTATTTAAAGTTTATTTCTTTTCAATATTCTAATTTATATGCAAAATGTGGCTCAACTAATAGTGCTTACTGTATTACTCTATTTGTTATCTCTCATATTAATGTAAATCCTATCCTAAAAATAGCTTCCTACAGGCCTTGTTTAAAGGGAAGAGGATGTTTATGTGTCTTGCAACTGGATAAACATTAGTTCCATTTCAAAATGATTTCCTGCAGTCAGTTACTCCTTACACTAGAATAACAGGTCTAGGATTCATAATGTACGTTTATTTATAGAAGCAAGTTGAAATGTTAGACCTCTTATAAACTCATGCTACCTTGTATATTTGAAGAAGGCTTAAGACGAAGGTCCAGGTTATTTTCTACTGCACTTTTGGCTTTTTATGCCTGTGACAACATTAAGAGATTCAGGAATGAGAAGTAAAGTCATAGCCATTCTAGAAGAACTGAGAGCATGTGTTGGTGCAAAGTTTAGGTCGCGATGGTGTTTCTGTTGTACCTTTTTCATGGACTTTGCAATAATAATTCTTTTTGTTTTGTTTCAGGCAGTTCTTGCTGACCTTTCTACTTTAAAAGTTATGCCTCTTCTTCAAATTTTTCTGTTTGCTACTATCACCTGATCTTCTTCAAGGTCACTGACAGCACTTCTAGTTTTTCCTTAGGAACTAATCATGAACTATGCAAACTCTGCATAAAACCAAAATTAAACTTTGCATATAAGCCAATAAAGATCATGTTCCCTCCTCAGTTAAAGCTAAGTAGTTTTTCACTTTTTGAAACAATAACCCTGCACACCAAATATTGCATTGCATGCTGCTGATTTTCAAGAGAGAAGCAATAGATGTAACTTCTGCTAAATTGAGTACTATATGTATAGTACTCAATCATATATATTACATGTATAATGTGTCTATATAATGTGTATAATATACATGTGTAATGTATATGATTGAGTAACCCATATATACCCTAACTTATAAAAGGCATGTAACAATATATGCAATAAGAACTAAATATACTGTAATAAACTTCAAGAGCTAATGTAGCTTCTTGGGCAATTCTTTTAGGTCAGTTTATAAAGTTATCCCTAGACAGTTTATCATAAATTGCTCTTCACTCAGAAGCAGAAGTGAGGTGTGCTGTGAAAAGTCTTGAAAAACGCTTTTAAGTATAAATTTCAAGGTACTTTGGTATTTTTAGCAACTTTTCACTAACTAGGGATTTTCAAGATTCCCCCCATTTTATTTGTCTCTTAAATGTTTCCACTGGGAAGGTCAAATGCAGTTATCCATCAGATAATACTCCATTCTTCACTCTCTAAATGGCAGGCATCATAGGGAGACCCCTCTGTACTTGTCAGCCCTCTGTTTCTTACACAGAGGCCTTGCCATAGCTAAGGCGTGGAGTCAGATTCTGTTTCTCTGGAAGAACACAAGGAAGACATCCAGGGAATGAAGGCAATGAAGAATCACAGCCATACCCACTTTTTTGAAGCTTGGTTTAAGGAGACTTACTGCTAGGGTGGAGAAGCTAAGAGAAACCACAAGTAGGTAGGGGACATTTATTCTAGAAGACATTATGCGAGGCACCTGGTCTTCTTTGGGTCTTTATTATAAGTAAAGGGTTTCACTTCATATCACTTTGGAAAGATGTACTATTTCCATGACATGGAATTAGACTATATGAAGAAAATTAAAAAACAACTATCTTTCAATTTTAGCTCAAATTTAAGATGCTGATCACGTCAACAAGATTTTAAATCAATAGATTAATAACCCTATACATTGACTGGTGTTTGTTTTATCCTAATGTATTTTAGGAATCTTTTATTTTTGCCAGTGTATGTTAGGAAAAGTATGAAATTTAGCACAAGACTTCAAATGTGGCAAAGTTTGGAATAGTTTACAAATTTGAAAATCTGTATTAAATATTCATCTGGTAATTGGTGACTTATTGAAAATTAAATAATTTATTCTGTGAGTGAATCTTAATAAATGCCATTTTATTGCTTTTGAAGGTTACACATTTTTAATCGTGTTTTGCCACTGTATGTGTGCAAATGTGCAATTATGGAGAGAGTATGCACTCACTGTGGCTACTGTAAATGGCAAAAGCTTTAGAAAGAAAGTGTGTTTTAAATGATTAATAACAAATGTGTACAGTATTCCCATCTCTTGCTTCTTTATTTAGAAGAATATTGATAAACTTTAAAAAGAGGCAGCGCAGTGGTCTGTTATTACCAGATTGGAGAAGTCTGGTCCTAGCTGTAAGCCCCTAATTAATTAAATCTCTACTATCTGTAATTTGAGGGTAGAGTGAGAGAGACAAATAATAGGAAATTTTTGTACCTGCTCCATTTACCTCATTGGATTGTGTAGGACTAGATGAAAAAATATATGTGAAAGTGACATTTTAAACTCCAAAGCACCAAGCAAATAAGATATTGTTGGTAATCAATTTTATGACATTTTAAGGTGAAGTGGTAGAAGATATGAACAATATCTAACTTCATTAGCATTGATATTCTTTTTCTTGGTAAGTTGAGACTATTTTAAAAATTAATGGAGACCAGATGTGGTGGCGTACGCCTGTAATCCCAGCACTTGGGAGGCTGAGGCAGGAGGATTGCTGTGAATTTGAGGCCAGCCTGAATTACAGAGTGAGATTCTGTCTCCACAAAAAAAGAAAGAATAGATTATGACATAGAAGATCCTCTTATTTGGTACAAGTGGCTCTAGGCAATAATTCTGATCTTCATCCCACAACCAATCAGATTGCCTTACCCACTCCCCCTCTAATTGCACCTCCTCCTCCTCCTGCGTCATTTGGCTTCCTTCCTCTTTCCATCTCCTCTCCGCCACTGGCACCCTTCACATCTGCTCCGCCAGTGACTCACCACAAGGCCCCGAGTGACCAATGATCCATAGCTATTTTACCTATGGCCATTGGCACTGATGTAAATAGCCTACTAGGCAATGTGTTTGACCCTCCTGGGTTCCAGTTCACTCACTAAGATAATATGTTATGGCCTTATATTTGGAAGTGCATTTAGTAATCTTTTTGACCAAAATGTTTTGGTAGTACAGTGTGTAACTAATTGAAATTTCTGTTTTGTCTTAACTGCATAGCATCACCTCACACTCAGCATATGCTCTCCTGTATTTTAGGGGAAATAGAGATCATTAGGCCTGCCCTCCCTCAGCCTTCTACTTTGTAAATTAGCTTCATCCCCTATACTTAATTTCTTCCTTATTATTTCAAGAAGTTTTCTCTACTTCTGTAAGTGCAGGTTTGATTTGGTCTACTTTTCTGCTTATTAACACATTCAGCAGCTTCCTCATTCCTTCGAGAATAAAATCCTGGCCCTGTAGTATAGCAGGAATAGTTTTTCACAGTTTGGTCTTTCCATTTCTATGCTCCCACACTGACTCATTGTTCAGCCTTAACAGATATGCATGGTGATCTTCAACCAGCTATAGCTATTCATTTCATCTTTGCCCGAAAGATTTTCTCCATTTTGCAAGATCCCACTCAAAAAATCTCTTTGTGAAGAGACACCAGAGCTTGTAAATTCCCTTCTATCTTCCACTCATACAGTGCTTATAATGAGTCATAGTTTTTTGTATGCGTGTTCTGATTGCCACTGTTTCCTCCAGGCAGTTTTCACTGACTCATCCTGTGTATGGAAGATGCAAGAAAAACTTTTCCATATGTGTTTGTATCCCCTGACTGTTGCAGTGTTGTTAGGGTTTGTTTTTCTTACAACATAATTCCCCTCCATTTCTACTCTCTCTTCTTCCACAAAGGCTCTAAATTTTCTTTGCAGTTCTGCTCCTTCCCCATGCAGTTCGGGTGAGGTGGACTTCCACCCCTAAGATCTCTGGCCTGGCCAAGCAGTCACCACGTACCATCCCTCTGGCCACGGGCATTGCTTCAGGATCAGTGCAAACTCTACAGCCATTGAAAGCTAACAAAACTTGATTACAAGACTGCTTTAATCTTTCAGGGAAGTGGAGTATGAAAAAGGAATAGCATCTGAGCATCTGCAGCCTGAGAATGGACAGAGTGAAAAGCCAGTCTTTGTCCTTGTTGACTCTCAAATCACCCCAACATCGGGCTTCCCCTAGGCTATTTTGTTACATGACCCCAAAGATTTTCTTTGCAACAGAAAGGATCCTAAGTAATGGTGGTGACTCTATGTAGGGACCCACACTGAATGGGTATCACTAGATCCTGTGCCCCATCTGCATACTACTCAACTAGAGTATTTTTTTAACTTCTAGACCTAAGCTACCTGAAGTACCTAATACAGGGATATCTCTTGCCTTTGGCCCTTTGCCCATTCCTCTCCCTCTGCTTAGGATGCTTTCTCTTCTCTCTTTAACCCTAATCTGGACCTCAAAACCCAACTCAGGTTTTATTATCAGGGAAGCTACTCCTCTTGTGAATCCTCCTCAAACCCTAATATACATATGTTGTATCAGAGTCATATGTTAGTTTTTCATTTCCAATGGAATGTGACTCTTTGAGGGCAAAAATAGTTTCTTTTCCAGCTATATATGTCCAGGACCTGCATACTGCTTGCCCCGTACTAGACTTGATAATTACTGAATGAACCAGTGAAGCCATATCATCTAATTCATTCATTTAGGAACTTACTTGATGAAGGAGCTTACTTGTTCTGAGTAATAGCTTCCCTTTCCAGTGTCACACAACTATTTTGCCCAATGTGTTAATTTGAGAAATTACAGATAGAAGTCCAAAGGAGAAAGAATACTTTGAGAGAAAAAAATGCAAATGCTTTACTGAATTTTTTAAGTCATCTCTATTCTGATGTAATTTATGGACAATAAAATTATATAAATTTTTCTGTAAAATAAAATTCATTCTAAGTATACAGTTACATAGGGTTTGACAAATGTACATATATACCTGTGACCACCACCACAATCAAGGCCTAGACCATTATGTCACCCAGCAGTTAGTTCCCTTTACCCCCTTCAGTCCCCCAGACGCATACTCACTCTAAACCACTGATCTGCTTCTCGCCCTAAAGATTAGATTTCCCATTTCCAGAGACTCAACATATGTACTCACTTGAAGTAATGTTTTGAGATTCAGCCATGTTGTGTGATTAGTAGTTCATTCCTTTTTATTGCTGAATACAAGCCTTAATATGGACATATGCCTTCATTTCTCTGGGCCAAATAACTAGGAGTACAATTTTTAGGTCCCGTGTAGCTATGTTTTTAAGTTTTTAAGAAGTTTCCACATTCTTTTCCAGAGTGGTTCAACCATTTTACATTCCCACCAGCAATATATACATCCCATTTATTCCAAATCCTTACCAACACGTAGTGTTATCATGTTAATAATTCTCATAGGTAGATATAATTTGTATTTTCCTAATTATTAATAATGTCAAACATCTTTTATGCTTATTTGCCTTTTTAAATACATTATTCTTTTGTAAATTATCCATTCAAATCTTCTGCCCATTTTAATCAATTATCTTATTAAGTGGTAAGAATTATTTATTCTGGGTAAGATACATGGTTCCCAAAATTATCTTCCAGCCTATGATTGCCTCTTAATTTTATTAACTATCTTTTAAAGAACAGAAGTGTTAATTTTGTTGAATTCCAATTTATTCAGTTTTTCTTTCATAGTTTATATTTTTATGTGCTACTTATGAAATCTTTGCATAATTCAGGGTTACAAAGGTTTTTTCCTCATTTCTGGAAACTTTATGGATTAAACTTATACAGTTAGGTCTATCATCTATTGTTTTAAAGTTAATTTTCTTGTATGGTGCAAGTGAAGAGCTGAGCATCCTGTTTTTGCATTTGGGTGCACATCATTTCCTGCAGTAAGTATCGTATCCTCTGACTTTTAGATCAGCACCTTTGTATTCTGCTGTAGAGTTTTATGTTTGTCCTTACTGCATTAAACTGTCTTGATTTTTGTAGCTTTATAGGAAGTTGTTTTCGCTATTCTAGCTTGTTTGGATTTCTAAGTAACTTTTAAAATCAGCTTGTCAGTTTGCACCAAAAGATAAAAGGCTATTGGGATTTTTTATTGAGGGGGGGGATTAGAAATATAAATCAGACTGAAAGCAATAGCTGTCACAGCAGTACGGAGTCTTCCAGTCCATGAGCATCGCATATCTTTCCATTTATATAGACCTTCTTTAATTTCACCCAGCAATATTTTATACTTTCCAGTGTACAGTTCTTGCACATAGTTTTTGTTAAAATTATCCATAATTCCACATTTTGATACTATTGTAAATGGTATTTTAATTTCAATTTCCAATGGTTTGTTGTTAAAATACAGAAATACAAATGAAGTTTTTATATTGACCTTGTACCCTGACACCTTGCTAAATTTACTACTGCTATCCTTTTTTGTAGCTCCTCTAGGATATCCTACATATATAATATATCATCTATAAATAAAGACAATTTTGCTTTTTGCTTTCAAATCTGTATGGCTTTCATTTATTTCTCTTTTCTTACTGACTAGAACCTGCAACAGAAGTGTTGCCACTCATCTACTTTTAAATAAAATGTGTTTCTTTAACTAAAAATATCAAATAATTTATAACACTTTATTAATGTAATATTGTTGCCAATTTGGGTATACAGTAGTAGAAGGAGTAAAACTGATAGCTTCAGAAGAAGGGTGAGGAGAGATATTAACATGGAGGGAGATGGCCCGGGGAACTTTAATGTTGTTGAGATCATCCATGACTTCCTAAAAATCATTGTTTTAAGCATTGATCTCATGTATTATTAATGTCTTTGTCATGTTAATTTAAAATTTTTTATTACTTAACTATTCTTTATCCTTAAACTTTTTGATAGGTAATATCCATATATTTATTCAAACATTAAATGCTTACTCTGAGGAGGGTACTATGCTGAGTATTCAGTGCGTATATATATTTGTGTGATTGCTTTTTCAGTAATAAATGTAGTAAGAAACAATATTCCTTCAGTAAGCAGAATTCTAGCACATTTTTCTAGAAGTTATGGTGCTGTCTTTCCTGTGCTAGAGAAAAAAGATGGTCCTCCCAGAGATATTTATGTCCTAATCTCTGAAACTGTGAATGTTACCTCATATAGCACAAGGGACTAGACAATGTTGTTATGATTTTAAGATGGGGATATTATCCTAGATTATCAGATAGGCCCAATGTAATGACAAGCTTCCGTATAAATGAAAAGGAGAAGGAGTGGATGTGCAAGAGAGATGGGTCTGAAGGTGCTGTGGTGCTGGCTTTGAAAATGGTAGGTGGGGGGAATTATGACCTGAGGAACACAGGCAGCCTCCAGAAGCCAGAAAAGGCAAAGGCCCCTACTGACACCTTACCTTTAGGACTACTGAGCTCCAGAGCTATAAAAAAGTAAAACTATTGTTTTAAGCCCCCGAGTGTATGGAAACTTGTCAGACCAACAAGTGCAAGTTAATCTACGCCCTCTCAGGTAAGTTTACCATTTTAATGATAGCATGTGGGAATAACTAGTTCATATTGCTTAATTCCTTATAAAATGAGGGATTCTGGCTGTCTAGTTTCTCTTTGG